GTAGAATACAAGTAATATAACTTGTAGATATAAGTTGGGTAAACAGATAAACACGTAAGTAAGTGTAGTATTAATTTGAATCAATGTATATGAAAAGCGCAAACTCCCTACTGCCGTGAAAGTGTGTGCTTTTTAAATGAACAAACAAAACCGAAATCAATGGTAAATACTAGGTACTCTTGAAAATATATAAAACAGAACGAAAAGTATATCAGCAAGCTTCACAATTTAACAAACACAAACAAAACGTGAACGTTGCGGCTAGGGAGCTTTCATCGGGACATACATAAATCAAACAATCCCCCACAAAATCACTTAGCAATACATAGGTACTGAAGACAGATTTTATTAGCTTTTACATATAAACAATTTTAGTTGGATTGAGCTTAAAATATCCAGTTGAGCGGTTCTTGATTAATCTATTATGTTGACGTTTTAGTTACGGAAGCTAGCGAAAATGTATCACAGGCTGACGTTCACAAATCCGACAACCTCCAGACCTGATGAGTACCAGATTATGTGAAATTGCGGGATTTTTTATGGGTTTCTATGCTGTATGTAGTTGAAAGAAAATGACTACACCTGTACGGTGCTTTAAAGGAAGAAATCTAATCATTACATGAAAGTAAATTGAGTTTTAATGTTTACCAGTTATATGGAATTTTATATCAACCAACTAAAATAATCTATCGGAATTATAAATTTTTAATTTAAAAAAAAAATTTAGAATTTTAATTTAAAAATTTGTTTATGTTTATCAAACGGATCAACATCAAGGCGCACGAGTGTAACCGATAAAGGCTCAGTTCTACTTCTAACTCAAACGTGAGTCCGAACATTCTAGGCGCAGTGCCGAACTCTGTTGCGCTGGCGAGGATCCTGAAATACTTTGGGTAGATTTTTAACTCCAAATTTTGCCCGCACAGTGCCGTTAGACTGAAGGATTTTTCGATGGAGGGAATACTTCAATGAGCTCTTTAATCCTCTAGGAGATCATCAGGAAAGAACAACTGAAGAGCACAGAGCAACAGTGTTAGAACCACACATACTAATGGATGAAATAGAAAAAGTCATTAAACAGGCTCCCAAATATAAAGCACCAGGAGCTGATAGATTACCAACAAAAATAATTCAAGCAGCAGGTGAAAGCAGCATCAGATGGCTTCACAGAATATTCAATGCAGCATGGGTACAACAAACGGCCCCTATTGATTGGCAACATGCAATAGTTATACCATTGTGGAAGAACAAAGAAAGCAAACGAGAATGCGGTCAATATCGAGACATCCCTCTTTTAAGCCATGTTGGCAAAATATGTGCCAAGATAATAGAAACAAGACTGAGACCACTGATTAGACCACAGCTGGCAGAAGAACAGATGGGATTTAGGAAAATAGAAACTGCACAGATGCAATCTTCACACTTAAACAGTTAATAGAAAAGAACATTGAATACAATAAGAACTTATTTGTGGCATTCGTAGACCAGGAGAAGGCATTTGACAGAGTCGACAGACAATTATTATGGAAAATAATGGCAAGATATGGAGTAAGCGAACACCTCATCGAAGTGTGCAAAAGTTTTTACAGGGATTGTAGAAGTGTAGTTAGAATAAATCAGGGAACATCTCATCCTTTCACAGTGACATCTGGAGTAAGACAGGGGTGTGTCTTATCACCACTGCTGTTTATCACCTACATCGACAGTATATGCAAGAATGCCAAGCCCATGAATGAAGATCTTAGTAAGATCAACGAATTACTCTTCGCAGATGACCAGGCAGGCCTTGATAGCAGATACAGCCATGAAATTGCAACAACATCTAACATCCAGGAATGAAGAATGTAAAACAAATAATATGAGAATCAACACTGAAAAGACAGAAGTAATGTCAATAGGAAAAAAAGAAGACAGATCTAAACATAGCAATAGCATACAAAGGCATTAAACAGGCATCTGAGTTTAAATATCTGGGAACTACATTTACCGAAGATGGGAAATTGGATAAAGAAATTGACATTAGATGCAGTAAAGCAAACCAAGTATTGAGACAGCTAGCCCCCCTCTTACAGCATAAGACAATCCCAATCAGCACAAAGAGACATCTTATTCAAAGCATATTTATTCCAACACTGTGCTACCAGTGCCAGACATGGTCACTCACAACAAACCATAAAAGAAAATTAGTAACCACGGAAATGAGATGTCTGAGAAGGGCTGTAGGAGTGACCATAAGAGATAAGATCAGGAATGAGATCATAAGAGAACACGTCGGCACAGAACCAATTCTGGATTACATACAAAGACAGCAAGTAAATTGGTTTGCCCACTTAGCGAGAATGCCTTGTGACACCATACCATACAAAGCATACATGGAAAGAGAAGAAGGACGTAGAACAAGATGGAAGAATAACATCAGAGAAAATCTACAACAGCACGATGTGCCTATGGTCGAGGCAGCCAGAAGAGCTAGAAACAGAACCTTATATCTCCCTCGACACCCACAGCGGCAAAAGAGGAAGTGAAGAAGAAGAAGAAGAAGGATTTTTCTACTTGCGCAACAATACAAACGGGCGTCCGGTCTTACTGCCAAGACACCAGGAGGACATTACATAAGTCCACGTAAAGAAAATCCCATGCCTCACCCGGGCTTGAACCCGGGACCTCTAGCACTCGAGGCGGACACAATACCTCCAAACCACACAGCTCCCCTCCGAAATCTGGAGGGAAGGGGTTATTGGTGGCCGGATTTTTAACTGGCACCCTGTATTATAAGGAGTGTTTATCTGTGATTAGTTGGTTATAGGGAACACATTTTTGAGGCTGTAGCAATACCAGGGTTGTACTGGTGTAGTAAAATTTCTGGAGACCAGATCCGGACCATGGGATTTGCAGGTGTCCTTACCGGCATGGGACTACAGCTTACACCTGGTTGGTTTAGCCAGTATGGGTGCCATCATTACAACTTCTTCAGAGGTTGAGCATGGCATCTGAGATCTACCTTATTGATCTGACGTCCAGATAGAGATTGGTCAATCTCAGGATGGTACGGTAAACCTTTAGGCAGCAGTCAGTCCGGAGGGGACAAACCGAACGGTCAGCTCTCGGTACCGCTGTCGAAACCAAACCTTCTGCAGCTGGTGTCGAACCCGGCCCCCTTGCATTACGAAGCGCGTTCGCAACGCTTAAGCCACAGACGCCAACACTATATTCTAATTCTATATTCTGCTTATATTGTCTACTTTTTTTTCTATGGGTGCCAATCAAAACTAATTTTTTTTTTTTTTTTTAATGGTAATACTGACCGGGACAATGATAGGGACTGACAAACACAAGACATAATATGACTCTCACTGTTGTGAGATGGTGAAATGGTGAAATGTTTGCCTGCCCGGAGGGTGTAGATTGGAAGCCGAATTGATGCGAAAGTCTTATAACTGACTTTTGCTCCCAGATCGATGCAGCTTAAAATGAATACCAGGAAATGTCATGGAAAGTAAGGGCGCCTGCAAGGCTAGATGTAGAATTGATGAGGTCTTAAGCTGCAAAAAAATGCTGCGGCCCCTACTGTTTTAATTACACCAGCTGATCTCACTTTTTGACTTATCCATGGTTGGTTGGTTTTTGTGTCTATGGTTTTTACAGGATGAGGTAGCCAACATCAAGCCCAACCCTACCCTTAGTCGCCTCTTACGACATGCCTGGTAGGGTGTAGTGTCACTATTCTTTGCTTCCCGTGAGGGCCCCGGTGACATAAAAAGGAAAAGAGGAGCTTTCATAGCACTAGGGAATTTGTGGAGGTCAAAAGAAATTAAAAGAAAATACTAAACTAAAATTTGTTAATTCTAATGTCAAATCAGTACTTTTGTATGGGGCGGAAACACGGAGAACAACTAAGGCAGTTACTAATAAACTACAGACATTCATTAACTGGTGCCTGCGCAGAATAGAGGGAATTAAATGGTATGATAGAATAACTAATGTAAAGCTTTGGGAGAGAACTAAACAGGCTCCAGTGGAACAAGAGGTGAGGAAAAGACGCTGGCGCTGGATTGGACACACACTGAGAAAACAGGAGAAAAGCATAGCCAGAATGTCTTTGCATTGGAACCCACATGGGCATAGGAATAAAGGAAGGCCAGAAAACACATGGAGAAGAGAGCTGGAGAATGAAGTTAGAAAGATGGGGAGGACATGGGGAGAGCGCCATGCAATGGCGAAGGATAGAACGACTTGGCGTTTGTTGGTTAAGGGCCTATGCTCCATTGGAAGATAGAAAGGCAGAAGAAGAAGAAGAATCTCACTGTAAACTATATACGCCTTTTAAAAATGTGAATGATGAAAATATATTGTCGTTTTTATTTTTATTTTTTTTTTATTTTTAGTAAAAGAAATAAAAAGAATGTGTCCGAAAAATCACATAAATTATTGTGTATACCCCGGTATGGGTTCCGGAGTCCCATTGTAGGGAAAATAATAATAGACCCACTGCCTCCCCGACAAGAATGTCGTAGAAGTAATCTAACTGGAGATTTCCTTCCAAGTCCAAGGGCATAAGCCCGAGCGGCAAATAACAAACAACTGCACACACACAAGCCAGTAAAACAGATGTGCACGCAAAACTCTGGCGCTTGCACAAAGTCAAAGTCCAATTGGACGAACAACTAGGACTTTTTGCCGGAGCTTACATCCGATAAACGAAGAAGACGATATTATATAATCCTCTCAATGCATTTGTGAACAAAAATTTGGAATTTGTTGAAGCCCCTGTTGATTGTGAGGCCCTAGCTGCAGCTAAGTTAGCTTATAGCTGAATCCATAATTTGGCACTGGGTTTGATGTTGACCAGATTTTCTAGTGAATGCTGACTGATTAATCTTTAAATACACTACAAATATTATAGATTGCCTATAAATAAAACGTACTTCCCTTTTTGTTTACTTATAATTTCCAAGCGGTCCATAATCTACCATTCCGCGTGTCTGTGCAATTGTTTTCAGGCTGGAATGACGGCCGTGCATGCAGCTGTCAAGTGCGGCCACGTAGAGGTGCTGAAAGCTTTGCTGCTGCAGGGGGTCGAGGTGGACGACCGAGATGTGGTATGTTTTTCTGCTTGTGTGTTACTGTTAAAGATGGATCTCATACGGCTTCCATTATCCACCTAGTGCTGATGGTCTGTAAAAATATGTGCGCTCTTCCCATATACCCGATACACCCAAAGGCGTGAAAATGGATCTTTACTTTTACATTTCATACGGCTGCCTATCTGAACTGGCAAGCAATTTAGTTGGGAAAATAATGTCAGCCACGCTTGGTGGTTCTTTGAGGTCTGGTTTTAACTGAGGTTTGATAGTTGTTGGGCATGTTTTTCAATAATTATAGTTGTTGACGTCTCATGCCGTTTTTCCGTCGCTGTTTTGTTTTTAAACTATGTATTCCAGTGTGATTCAATTCAATTCCGTGACCACTTTTAGCTGGAGTCAAAGGACATTGCTGCTCTCTCTGCCCTGTCCGCTATATTTTTGGTTACTTGTCGGGCTGTCATCGAATCAGGTTATCCTTTGTGTTTGTCACCTATCGCTTGTTGTTTGTTATGGCGTCTTCTCGTTGGGTTTCTCTAGAATCTGCCGTATTTTAATGTTAACACACCTAGTCAACACAGTAAGCCAACACGTTTTGACAAACGTGGAATATGGTAGGTTTTTTTTTTTTTAGGTTAAGTGCTACAGGGAAATTCTTAGAGTATTATGAACAGAGAGATGAGCCCTCCGTTCTCATCATCCGCGACCATGGCAAAGTTCCTTTTCCAATGTCGCCCATGAACCGAGAGGGAGATAATACTAAAATATTTCAGGATCTGAACATAGAGAATTTCACAAAAAGATATAAAAACTGAACGAAAAGTATATCAGCAAGTTTCACAGTATAACAAACACAAATAAAACGTGAACGTTGCGACTGTGGAGCCTTCATCAGCACTTACGTAAATCAAACAAATATACAAAATCACTTAGCTTAGTATCTCGAAGAAGCCAGGTCGATGTCTTGCCAGTAGACTACAATACAGAACACTGAAAAGACTCGCTAATATACAGCATCGTTTCTAGGAAAGTGAAATATTTTTGCCATATTAAACGCCATAATTGTTTGGAGAGAACAGTAGTATGGTATGGCGGGAATCGACTAGCACGAAGATAGACATAGAATTTCTAGGTCACCCTAAACATGAGAGTGAGAAGGCGGGATAGTTAAAAAGGAACTAAGTGGCTTTTCGACGAGCCTTGATGATAGCCGCGTTCTGTGGCGCAGTGTTTTTCAACCAGTAAGCCGCGGAAAAGTCCAAGTGGGCCGTTTAAATGTTGTCTTTAATCCTTTAACGGATTGGGTAGTTTTTCTCTCCCAGTATTGCAGTCTGTAGGATTAATACAAGAAGGATGAAAACAAAGCAGGTAGAAATCTTTTAAAGTCCGCTGAAAAACATAGATTTTCTTAACTCTACACAGCTTCCGATGCTTCCAAAAACAGAAGAAGAAGGAAACTGACTGTGATTTTACTTAGCAAATTTACGTTCTGCAGTTTACCATTGCTCCACGAATGGTAGGCTATCTATACACGTTTCGAAACCAACACAATGCGATCTGCTGCACAATCGGCAGCAGCCGGGATTGAAACCGGCACCTCGTAATTATGCAGCGTGTTCGCAACGTTTATGCCACAAACAGCTACACAAACGCCAACATACGTTTATTCATAAGGTCCTGTTCACGTTTCCCGGTCCATTTACACACTACATTACCTTTCATTCATACTTTCTCAGACTCTTCTACATCGGAGGGGTGTCACGTTGTCTTCCCTCCAATTACATTAGCGCCGATGAAGCGTGTTCTATACTACACAGCTTTCAACGACCCCAGAGCATGTAGAACAGGCTCTAACACAACCCCCCCCCCTCTCCTCCCCCCCCCTCCGCTCCCCACCTACAGCCTTAACCTAGGTCAAACGAGAGACTCTTTTCGAAGAAAGCAGTAAAACGGGACACCCCTCTGACTAAAATCAGACTGAGTAAGTGAGTAGATGGGCCGGGAAACGTGAGCAGGTCCATTCATACATTGCCGTAGTCCCTAGCTTCAGCTCATGATTTTGAATTGACAGGATGGCAAAACAGCCCTACACTTGGCAGCAGAGGGCGGTCACAAGGAAGCTGTTGATTTGTTGCTGGATTACACGGCCAATCCAAACTCGGAGACAATCGTAAGTAACCTGGCATGCATGTGTGGAATGGTCACATATTCATGTGTTTCTATCTATTTATTTATTTTCTAATCTACAGATCGTCTGTGTGACACAGGGAGTAGGTTTTTCTCTGTAGACTGTCTATTTGTCTGTTTGGCTGGAAGTAGGTTGTTGTCCGTAGACTGTATAATATCCTTTGGATATTTTCTCTAGGTTATGCGTTGTGGTGGAAAAAGAGCAGACAGATAGACTGGTCGGCTCTGCGCT